AAAGAGTCATGGGAGCTGAGCTTGAAATAGAGTCGATTAGGTAGAAAATATATAAAATAAATTTTTAAATAATAAACAAATATTAGATCATATTAGTACTGCTAATAAATGGCCCTAACTATAAAATAAAAATAAAAATAAAACAATCTATTTTTTCAGTATGAAAATATATTATTTTTTAGTACGAAGGAGAGTCAACTCAATGAGAAGGAATTTTTTAAATGGATAGGGCGCGTCGATGACATGCGCCCCACCTATAGGGGATGCGACATCGCCTCCCTATTCAAATTGGGCCCACATGATCCTATTCGAACAGCTTTTTCCAACGAGAGATGGACCTTATCTGAAGTTTTACTACTTCCACGTAAAAATTTTATCATATGAATGAGAGAAAGGGATTATTTAATATATAAAAGGGTTGTCGTGTGTGAATTAGGCAGTGTGCATTGAAAGTTGATGCGCCTGCGTGGGATTTGCATTAAGAATAATAAAATCCATTATTGAGTTCTCTTCATCAGTAAAACAATTGAGTATATCGTGTCTAGTTCATCGAGTCTCTATTGAACTACCCGATTTATAAGCTTTTAGTCGATTTCAAAATAGATGGCGTTTGCTAGCAATCCTATGCGTTCGAGGAACCAATTCCTTGTTTTGTTGATTGAACTGATCGATCGAACCGATTTTAATAACATTGGTCACTACACATATTCTCTCAACAATACATATTGGTGTATATTTTGCTAAAATTTTATTATCTTTTTGATGGGTTAAACTTTAATTTTAATTACATATTTATAAGATCCACGAACTTATTATCAACTTTCAACTATATATTTCATCAACTTTTATTTAAATTTTTATTAAAAACTTTGTCAAAGAATTCTTAAATAATTTTTATGTTTAAGAAATTGGGGGACAGGGTGGAGTGGTGGGAATTGGAGAAGAGAACCTATTTTTAAAATAATAGTAATAGTACTTTTTCTGTACACTGTGTATTGTGAAGATAAATTTATAAATTAATGTGACATCTCACTCAAATCAACTAGGTAGTGTTTGATTCATCCAATTCCATGGCAATACTCAAATCAATTAGATAGTGTTTGATTCATCCAATTCCATGGCAATGGGTGGAAAATAAATTTTCCACCCTAAATTTTCCACCCAAAATGTTGTGTTTGATTCACAAAATTTTCCACCCAAAATGTTGTGTTTGATTCACAAGATTTTCTCTGGAATTGGTTTCTAACTTTTATTGGAAGTTATACTATTCCTTGATTTGGTGGAATTCCAGCTACTGTAGCGATTTTTTTTAATATTTTTTTAAGCAATGGAAACCAATTGTAAGAATTATTGTAAAAAAAATATTTCTCTTTCATTGATAATTTTCATGTAAAACAAAACCAAACGAACACTAAAAAATAGATGATTTTCTTGAATTTATTATTATTTTTTTGCTTTTTGGCAATGGAAACCAATGTCATCTCCAATACCAGTAAATTCTATCCTTTTAATTGACAATTTTCATGTAAAAGAAAATTAAACGAATATCAAAAAACACTTTTATTTCAAAAATTTTCACGTGGAAAATTATCCTAATCGAACACAATAATTTACAATTTTCAGGAAAACAATTCTAAGCAATTCGATTCCTTAGAATTCGTTTTCCACCTAATTCAATTCCATTTTCGCAATCAAACAGAACTTTACAGTTTTTTACAGTTGTAATATAATGTGTGCATGGATTAATTTCAGGTGACTGAACGCAAAATACATTTAGGTGGGGATCTTGTCATTAGCGTGCCTAAACAGGAAAGTGAAAACAAATCAAGTTAAGTCAATAGAGATGATAATTAAGCTTTTGTGGAGCATATCCCCACTGCTTAATTTCTAATTATCACTTACCTTGACTGCAATAAAATATTGATACTTAATTTTCCACTTCCACGCTCAAAATTAATCACCAATAATTTAATTCTCGAACCTAATATTTTCTGTTTTGAACTCAACAAATTGCAATTAATTAACGATATTTTATTGTGTTCAATCATGCACAAATACTAACTTTAATTAAAAATTATAAAAAAAATAAAAAATAAAAAATGAAAGTCAGAATCTTTGTTGTGCATTTACTCATTAAGAAATACACAGTAAGTGGTTTTTGGTATCTTCCAACTATTTATTGTGTTCGATCGTGCACAAATACTAACTTTAATAAATAAATAAATAAAGAAAAGAAAGAAAGACAGAATCTTTGTTGCAGTAAGTGGTTTTGGTATCTTCCAACTATTAATTTGAATATTTAAATTATGTTTAAATTTTTTATATTTTCTTCGGGTTGCTAACTCAATTGTTTCAAGCACCGACAGAATAGGAAGCACGCCTTCTTTCAAACTTTCAACAAAAGGAGGACGCCTAGTCAAGTCCCTCTTTTTCTTTCACAGCGATAATCAGGAAAGGGGATACGAATTAGATCAAACAAAGAGAGAAATAGGGGCTATGTAAATGTTGAGCTACTCAAAGGGTCGGGAGCTAAAGAAAAAATAATTAAAAAATCTCTCTATATCTTGTATCATATTTTTCATGACTATATGTCACGTTATATATATATATATTTAATTTTTTTTTATTATTATTATTTTTTGGCACAAATTTTCATTCTGAAGTGAAGATAGTTTTTGGAAACACGAAAATTTATGTTGATTTCTGAAGTTAATACCCGTTACCCCAATCACTTTGGTCATTTTTTAAATGTGCAAAAAAAATATGGAATTTTTTCTATGTTTAGCTCGTTAAAAATAAAAAAATAGTAAAGTAAAAATAAAATAAAAATTGTCCTCTTTCACTACCTCTTTCAAATAATGGCATATATGTCTAGTTATAAAATATCAATTTAGCTCATCGGCTTAGGTGGTTGGTGGCTCAATTTGAAAATAGTTTGAGTAGGCTCAGCTCGAGGCTCAATGGGACTGAGCCTTGGCTCAAGCTGAACCTTATCTTTGAGCATAGACCCAAGCCCGAGCCCGAGCCCGAGCTTGAGCCACATGGGCCGGCCTGTAAAGTTGCTCCAAACGACTTGTGAACATGGGCCATTTACAAAAGTAGGCAAGTTGTAGCTGCAGTTGCTTGTTTAAACAGAGGAAATCACCCCAATGGTCACTGAACTTTGTAAAAAATTCTCTAAGAGGTCATCGAAATTCAATATGTCCCTGAATGGTCATTGACCTTTTTTAAAATCCCCCAAGAGGTCACCGAACTTCAAAATGTCTCCGAATGGTCACTTAATTTTGCAAAACGTTCCTGGAAGGTCACCAAATTAGTTATGTATAGAGTCCCAATTTGCAATGTCAAGTGACCTCTCTGAGGGATTTCGATAAAGTTCTGTGATCATTTAGGGACGTTTTGAAGTTCAGTAACCTCTTGAAGGATTTAGCAAAGCTCAGTGACTATTTTGAGACATATTGAAGTTCGGCGACCTCCTAGGGGATTTTCTGGAAAGTGCAGTGACCATTGGGGGGATTTCCTCATTTACACAAGCAGCTAGTATATATATATTTTTAGAATTGTTAAAAAAAAATTAAATTTTGGGACTAAAAATAGAAAATCGAGCCAGCTCAGCTCGGGCAAAAAAAAAATCAAGATATTTTTTACCCAAGCCATGATCGAGCAGCGATCTTCAACTTGTGAGCTAGCTTCGCTCGTTTACATCCCTATGTTAGTGCCATATCATATACAATCACTAAGAATTTTTTTAAAAAATATATATATAAAAATATGTACCAAAAAAAATACATATAACGATAGTTTTTGTACAGCACGAATATTTCACTATATGGTATCTTGATGATGATTATTATCATTGTGTATTTAGTCGACTATATATCTTGGTATGATACGTTTTTACAAAGACTGGACATCAAACTTTGTGATGCTAATTATCAATAAAAATTTCGTGAAGAAATTTTAAAATATAAAAAATATAAAAGTTTAGATATATTATTAAGAAAATATAATATAAACAGCAAAAATATATTTCTTTAATTCCATAATTAATATTCCTCCACTAATTATCCAAGTCATATGAGAATGACACGTCAACTAGAAGTTGGGTGTGGGGCGCCGTAACACACTTTTGCTCCTAATATTTGCTTCATTTTTAAACCACAAATCAATGTAACAGTTTATCAAAACCCTAGAATCAACGACTGAATGATTTCTTTTGAAAAACCTTCTCAACCTCATAGCTTTTTCAAAACCAAACACTTCATACTATTGCTGATTTATTTTGATTTGAAATCTCATTTATCTAACACTCAATTCTAAGCTGAAGATTAATTCTCAGCAGCCCTTTATCTATATATGCTTGTGCTTCAGACAAAGTTGATTATGGTAATAAGATTTTCGCTGTTCATTTTTGGGTCTTCCATGTGTATAAACGATCATTTTCTCAGTGATGCAGAGATGATAAAATGCAGTAAGTTTGGCTTCTTCAGTTTCTCTTTTTATGGGGTAAAAGAAAATTTGTTGGGTTGTTAATTTCCTTTAAGTTGAAGAAAGCCTGCTTTGATGTTGCTTACGACAAGGATTAATTAGATTGTGCACAGAATCATGATGGAATTCAGAAATGAAGGAATATATATAATCAGATTTCTCTTTGAGGGCAGAGACTTTAATTTCTGATCATCCACCAATATACTGGTATGGTTTGCTAGAGTAGAACTGTGAGGGGGAAAAGGGGCTTATTTCGTTCGTTTCAAGTGACTTCGAAGAAGCATTGTGTGAAGAGAAAAAAAAAAAAAAAAAAAAATTGAAAAAAAAGAAGAGTTTCGAAGGAAAATAGAAAACTGCAGGAAATCCTTTACAAAGCAACAAAAGAACATGGAAGAGACATCATACTCGCATTACATTTCTTTCAAAAAAAAAATTGAAGAAGAAGAAGAGTTTCGAAGGAAAATAGAAAACTGCAGGAAATCCTTTACAAAGCAACAAAAGAACATGGAAGAGACATCATACTCGCATTACATTTCTTTCATTTCACTTTGGAGAGCTTTTCTAGCGAGATTTATTATTATTATTATTATTATCATTATTAGTCTTGTTCACGATTATTACTGGATATAGATGCCGATGGATACTTAGAAGTGATTCCAGAGGTTCTCATCTTCTATATTTTCGGGAGCAGCAGTGTCACCCAGGCGAGGAGGACTAAGAAGCATTCCCTGAGCCATGTTCACCAGAACATTAGGCATATCAAAGATCAAATCCTCATCAATAAATTCAGGGATTTCAGACAGCCCTGGATATGCAGTCCTGTCAACAGTATTGTTTCTACTAGCAAGAGCATCAACCGCCGCCCCAGCTGCGGCAGCTGCACTGGCGGCAGCAGCCTGAATGTCACGCGGCGAGGCAGAAGCCGGGACAGGTAAAGAAGAAGCTGAATTTGGGAAATTAAGCTCAGCCTCAGAACCTTTAAGAGCAAGCGCAGCCACATCATAGGCTACTGCAGCCATTTCAGGAGTAGGAAATGTGCCAAGCCAAATTCTGTTTGGCGTTCTTGGCTCCCGAATTTCAGACACCCATTTTCCACTGCTTTTACGACGCCTAACTCCCTTATAAACTGGGTGCCGGCCAGAATTTCTGTTCGCTGTGCTACTGCTGGACTGTGACATTCTATAAGTAAATTCACTTGTATATATTTATATATATTTATTGCATGCAAGAAACGAGAACAATTTAGGATATGATCCCAGTAAAAGATTTGAGCAGCCATTTATGGAGGTTGAGTTTTAGGGTTGCAGTGTATGGGGATGAATATGAGATGAATTAAGTGCAAACCAGTTGTTGATGAAATGGTGAGGTGTGAGGATATTGGGTGTAAGCCAGATATATGTTGGAGTTCTGGGTTGGATACCCGTTTTTTGTGTAATTTGCGAGGTGAAGCGTCACAACAGTTTGCGGATATGTGTTGAGATTCGATTTTTAATAACTTTTTTGAAATTTATAACTTGATTTGATTTGGATGAAGGAAGAACATTTTACTTAATCCATTGCATTTGAAACAACCAATGGAATTTTAGAAATGAAATATGCGAGATGGATGTCGACGAGTGTGTTCTCCGTGTTTGGCTCTCTCCATTAAATTTATCATACGTAGGTACTTTACGTCTTGTTAGTAAATAGGAAGATTTCATTTCAAACGTGATGTGACTTATGGTGTACTCTACCGCCTCGTTTGAGAAATTTAGTGGGAGGAATAGTTAGTAGATCTCAACTTGGATGTTGGTATATATATTTTTTGAAAGGATAATTAGAATATATAAATATGGTACGAATTTTAAGACGATGTAGTTCAACATGTCATCCAAGTACGTAATGTTTTCCATTCAAATCTTACTACCGCCACTTATAAAAAAAAAGTGACTAATTTTCATTTGATTAACAAAAATACCAAACAACCCTCTAAAACAAATCGATTACGACAACTCGAGCTAAGTCTTAACACAGGCATCGAAGTGGGCACTTCTTCATTGACCTCGCCCAAGGACTCTTCTGATCAAACCAAATCTATCAATTATTTTCAAAATTCGAGTGTCATTTGGCATGATCAACTGCTATGCCATCAACACAAAACACTTTCCATCAAACCAACTTCCTAACATAAGCAATCTCTAAATTCATTTATAGTTATTTTGATTGTACTACATGTACCTAATGATTTACCAACAAAAATACAGGCATACTCAACCAAAATTTGCTTACATATTTATGCTCGAAAGGAACAATCCAAATCATCCACATTGAATTCAGCCTTCATCAACGAAAGAGAAATTAAATTGTTCTTTCTATCTGTTTTTAATGATTTGAAGGCAAAAGATTTCGTCATTTATCCATTTTTCTCCCTATCGTTGTATCTATTGGAGCAATTTTCGTCTTGCAAAAGAAGAAGGTTTCTTCGACAAGGGATTTTAAAATTAAGGCTCAAGATTTTGGGCATTCACATCTAGCTTTATAAGTGATTTCATAGTGGTAGCAGATTAAAGTTAATTATGATTAAATTAAAGTTACTTATAGTTAATACCTTGATTTCTATGCCCTCTTGTAGGGTTTATTTAGGATTTGAACATCTTGCACAACTCATTCAACGTTTGTTGGCTTAGAAGTAAAACGAGTTAAACATGAGCAAGTATTCAACTAGTAGTAGTAGTAATAATAATAATAATAATAATAATAATAATAATAATAATAATAATAATATTATTATTATTATTATTATTATTATTATTATTATTTTGCCTTCCCTCGTATGTATTTATCAAAAACTTCAAGCAAAATATGAATTATCAGTCAACATTCTTTTATTCTCTTATATTCTACTCAATAAAAGATCTATCAAGATTGAATAAACTAAAATTAATTTAAAAGTATATATGTTCAAGACTCGTGTATATTATCAAACAATGAAATTACAAAATGACTTATACCCCGACGGTTATGTCTGCAAGGAGCTCAGCTAATTATTTATTACCAAAAACACGATAATAGAAACCCAGTATGAAAATACCATGTACACATATGGTAAAATTTGAATTCGAACAAAAGCATTAATTATCCTCTTAAAGTATTTTCAAGAAGCTCTTTAAACATAAGATATTCCTATTTTAAAGTGTCGGAATAAGGGTGTTCGCTTTGACTGTTAAGAGTAGGTAGCCTGTTCCCTGACTCAATTCTTAAAATTATGATCCAAAAGACTCTTTAAATTAATATTTTAATTTGGAGAGTCAAACACACTATCTATAATCTAATGCATTCAAAGTATTTCAATTTTCAATAAAAGAAAATAATATAATAATTTACGGCAATAGCAAAATTAAATGTTAAATATAAAAAGCACGTTTCACATTTAAAAATTTTTGCTCTCTAAGTTTAAGGTAAGGCCTCTTTGCCAGAAAAATGTTGATAGATGCCTTGATATAATGGGTGATGATAATGATTGAGTGAAAAAGTTGATTGTAATTTAAACAGTCCAATGATAAAATGTCATGTGACATTAAGCCAACCTCTCAAACGCTATAGCACAATTCTTAAATATATAGATGTTCTCTAAATTGTAGAATATACTTTTTAAAATTATAAAATTTCTTGGAGACGCTCTTACATTTTTACACCAAATAAATTATCATGTTTGAGTACGTTGAATTAAATAAAATAAATGATAAACTTTGAATTTGAACAAATGCATATTTTCACAGCAAATAAATTATCATGCTTAAGTACGTTTAATTAAATTAAAGAAACAACAAATTTTATCTTGTAAATCTTATTTAGCCCTTGTTTGGTTTCGATAAAAATTAATTTTTTAGTAATGATAATAATTGATGGAATATGTAGTCCAAAAAATTGATAAAAATTTAAAGTTCAATAAAATGAGTTTGACAATAATGAATTTATAAAATTGGAAGCCAAATAAAAACTTATTATATCCGTACCTTACTTCCGCTTGCCATCAATCTTGTTTTCTCCTAATTTCTAACTCCAACTTAGAAATGATATTTAAGGGCTTGTTTGAGCCACATTATGTTCAAAAAAATACATTTTTCAATTGTGATTTGATATCATTTCAATCACATATTTTTCAATAAAATAATATTATACGCAAATCTAAACCCCTATTTGAGCCACATTATTGTAAAAATGAGAATGAAAAATATAGCCGCTATGAACTCCACACAAAAGATAAAAAATCAAATATGGTGACTTGATATGACGGATAATGGTCATATTTTTCATTTTAATGAGAAAATAATGGGGCTCAAACAAGGCCTAAAAGTCTAATTTTTGTTAATATATGAAACCACACTCAAGGATGGGAACGGTTGGGAGCGGACGCAGAAATTTTTTGTTATTGAAATATAATCAAACTCTGTACAAATCAAATACTCTGCTCTTGATTTTTGAATGATTCATACTTGATTCAAGAAAATGCATATTTATATTTAAAAAATATTTTTCATTAATATTTTACTTATCATTTTCATCCATTTGATTTCGAACGATCATTTTACTAATGTTTTGCTCATCACAAGAAAATGCATATTTACGTTTAAAAATTCTATAGTATATTTGATACAAACAATCAATTCAAGTGATCAAAAGGAAAAACATATAATCAATATTTAATTAAATAAACACAATTCGTTAAATATATGTTAAATTGGATACAGTTGGTTCAGATACATTCTATATACACAAATAAGATAGGAGAAAGTGCAAATTTAGATTTTAATTAATTGAAAATTTGTAGTATATATGACGATTTATAGATAAATTATAGATAAATTTTAAAAAATTAGAGGAATTAAGATTTTGGTAAAAGGTTGAAAGAGAGAGTATGATGGAGCAAGAGAAAAAAGAAAAATTCCAAATTACTGTGACTTTGTCCCTGTTTGGTGAGAATTAAATTTTTAGCAAATTTTGATAAAAGTTAAAAAATTTAGGATTTCATGAAATATGTTATTAAAAATAACTATTAACTTTAATTTAGATTTGAATCAATATCAAACGGGACATTATCCAAAAAAAATTTAAAAATAGATCTCAAAAATTGAGGAGTACGTGACCCCAGGACCTCCTGCGTCCGCCATGGCAATGGTAATGGATAGGTGGGCCACCCATCCTATTCCTATTATTAATCTTTGAATTCAATTTTAAAATGTCAATTTCATTAAGAGGATTTAGATATGGCAATTTGAGCCGTCAAAATCGAAAATTGGGGTTAATCGAACCGAATGGGACGAAAAAAATCGAACCGATAGTGCAATGGGGTGGATATGGTTTTCATTTTAATGAACCGGTTCGTGGCGGTACGGGTATGATATTTACACCGTCGAACCGAAATCGAACCGATTACCCGCTAAAAATAAATAAATTGAATTGATTATTGAGATTTATACTACTTTTCTATCTAGCCTAAAACAAAATCTCCCCCCCTCCCCCATTATTTCTACATGACTCAGTCGGTCAACCCACTCACCATTACCCCATAATAATAGCATTAGTATGACAGTATATAAATGCAAACCCTACTCTTCACAAACCACAAACTCATGCACGACTCATTTTATTGTTAATTTTTTTCTATTGTGGGTAAAAAATTTTACTTCTTCATCATACTTTAAAACTTGTGTAACGTTTAACGAGAAGGAAGCTGACGAAGAGGTACTTTTTTATTATTATTTAAATCTTAGTTAAGACCATTCTGAAATAGGTAGTATCGTTGTATTTTCTACTTACATTTCTTATTTACTATATAGAAATCAACTTTGAGTGTTGATCTATGCTGGTAAGACTTGTGGGGAAGAATGAATCAAGTAATTTCGATGCACAACAATTAAGAATGAAGGAAAAGTTTATTATTGTTATATTTATAATATTATTTGTTAAATTTGTATTTTACAATTGAAAATTGGAATAATGTTTCCATTTTTGTTTGGAATATTGTGTTTTTATTTTCATTGACTTTTTTCATAAATTGTTTTCTATCAATTTGACGAATGAAACTATAAAAAATAATTTATTTTCGTGGTTATTAACCGAATCGAACCGTGCCGAACCGAGATACGAACCAAATCGATTTACGTGGTTATGGTGCCGTTATGGTATGGTAAAAAAATTGGTGGTGTGGTTATGATTTTGGCCGAATCGACCCATAACTGAACCGTTGCCAACCCTAAGAGGATTAGTCCAAGACTTAATATGTTTGTCTATATATATTTTTTTTTATTCGATGTGAGATTTATTCATTAATATGCCTCGCAATGTAGTGATTATTTTTAGCAAACCAATCTTGAAATTCGCCTGCTCATTTTTTGAGTATTGGATTTCCATCTTTAAAGATCAACCTTATTAAGAGAAATAGTTCAAATTATTATATATTGATCTGTATTTTCATCTTTAT